TGTTCAAGATTTTATTATTCAGGTAATCACTACCTCTATATTCATATTTTCGACAAGAAAACTGGTTTAGTAACCTTTCCATTAAAGGATCTGGAAGAACCTTTATAAATTACTGAGGGTTCATCTACTGCAATTTTATTTGCTTATTCATCAGTGCAACATGAGTGCATCCCTCAAGCTATTCTTGGAATGGATGTGATTTGCCAAGCAAAATCTGGGATGGGGAAAACAGCTGTTTTTGTTCTATCAACTCTTCAGCAAATCGAGCCGGTTGCTGGTCAAGTTGCAGCACTCGTTCTATGCCATACAAGAGAATTAGCTTACCAGGTATGTTTTAGAGACTTTAATTTGTTGTTTGAAATTAGCATTTCAGTTGAGGGTGTTGCAGTGCTAAATAATTTTCATCTTTGGGTTCCTTCTTACCAAGTATTATTTTCTCTATGCTTTGACAGATTTGCCATGAATTTGAGAGGTTCAGTACTTATTTACCAGATATTAAAGTAGCTGTCTTCTATGGTGGAGTCAGTATCAAGGTTCACAAGGACTTATTAAAGAATGAATGTCCTCATATTGTTGTTGGAACGCCTGGAAGGATATTGGGTCTTTCCAGGGATAAAGATCTTAGTTTGAAGAATGTGAGGCATTTTATACTTGATGAATGTGACAAGATGCTTGAGTCACTTGGTATGCTTTCCAATTTCCATAAATCTGCTGAAGATGTACCTTTTTTTTCTGGTACTTTTTCTTTTATTATCTGTTATGATCATTTTCTTTTTTTATATTGTACAGATATGAGGAGAGATGTGCAAGAGATCTTCAAGATGACTCCACATGATAAGCAAGTTATGATGTTTTCAGCTACACTTAGCAAGGAAATTCGGCCTGTGTGCAAGAAATTTATGCAAGATGTAAGTACTCAGCTTTGTAATTTCGATTCCATTGTTTCTTTTCTTAATACTATTAATTTTTGTGGGTATATGTTGTTCTGGTGTGTACCTTTTTTAATGGCAGGGATACATACGTTTGGAACTTGAATTGCTTCTAAAATTTGACAGTTATTTAAAAAAAATTTGTGCTAGATAGCTGTTGGTGTTTTGCAATGTATTGTTTCTGAATTCTACTATCTTATTTGAAGGATTGAAGTCTTATGTTAGTAGTTGCTTTTGTCATTTTTTTGCTGATGGCATTGGGTTATGGTAGAAATATAATTCTCCTTTGATGGCCTTTTCTGATGTTTTTGCTGCAGCCCATGGAAATTTATGTTGATGATGAAGCCAAATTGACTCTACATGGTCTGGTACAGGTATGCATACAGCCAAGTCACAGCTTTTGTATAGGTTTTGTTTGAATGGGAATGAAGGAAAGATAAAGGAGATAGAGTTTACGTCTTTTGTATCAATAATTTCTATGGACAGGTAGGGATTGGGATGTACCCCTTCAAAACTTTATTTTCTTAGAACCTTCAAATTAGGAGGATTTGCGAAGGAAGGTTCCTCTTTGAAAAATTCTGATTGGATAAAAGATATTGGCCTTAATTTAACAGTTCCATTTGACATATAAAGGATATATTATTTGAACAATGGGTGAGCTTTTTTCTATCCACTCCTTAATTGAGAAAGGTTGGTAACGTACCCCTTTTTTTTCTCTTCTTAGCATCCAAACAAAGGGAACCTTGTCATTTCTTTCGCCTTCTTTTCCACTCTCCTGACCCCTTTAGTTCCTATATAGGCTAACTGTTTAATGCCTAGGTTAATATGTATATATATATTTTTTACTTATGCAGCATTATATTAAATTGAGTGAGCTAGAGAAGAACCGCAAGTTGAATGACCTCCTTGATGCCTTAGATTTCAACCAAGTAGTCATTTTTGTCAAAAGTGTGAACAGAGCAGCTGAGCTCAACAAGTTACTAGTGGAGTGTAATTTCCCCTCTATCTGCATCCACTCTGGAATGACCCAGGAAGAAAGGTATGCATTCATTCTCTGATATATGTGGTGCGCATGATGGCTGAATTATCTCTTCATCTATGTTTGGCATGTCAACTTTCTTTGTGCTATCAGTGCCTGGCTTTTTGCAATGTGTTTGCCCTAGTGTAGAAGTGAATTAAGAAGAGTTAGATATTTCAAGAAAGTTTCTGCTAGTTTTTTTCCTTTTATGGATTTTATTTGTGGTTTTCTTGGCCTTTCCATTCTTCTAGTAGTATTGTTACTCGCAGTTATGTGTGTTTTATAATTGGAACAAGGTGTTATTTTCTGTGTTCTTTGCATTTGGTTTGATTGAATCCATGACATGTCTGTAAAGTTTTGGTATAAAGGATATATCATGACTTGTACTTTGATGCAACTAGTAACAAGGTGGTTTAATTGTTTATATGTAGTTTGTTAGCCATAGTTGTGTCTGCTATATCATTTCTTCTATTTGGAAGTTCTTAAAGCCCATGTTTACCTAGCCATGGTCACCCTTTGGTGAAAAGGGTATTAATCTTTGACGGTAGTGCTGATGTCAACTAATTTGTTGGTGGGTTTATGGATATATATTTTAGTGTCAGCTTAGCTGTTAACATTCAGTAGTTTTCTTTTAGTAAGAAAAATTTTTTATGGAATGGGATTCTGTGTTCTACATCTATTGTGTGTGAATGTGTGTCCTGTTTCTCTTTTGCCATAGAAACTATCCTGGCAGTGGCTAATTCTGATTGGTTTATTCCTTTTCAAGGTTGACACGATACAAGAGTTTCAAGGAAGGGCACAAAAGAATTCTTGTCGCAACAGATTTAGTTGGAAGGGGAATTGATATTGAGCGTGTTAATATTGTAATCAACTATGACATGCCGGACTCTGCTGATACCTACTTGCATAGGGTAAGTTCTGTTTGAGTATTGCAATTGAACCAAAGTCATGTTGACCTTGACTTTCTATTCTCTCTCTGTGGGTTCTCTGTTATCACAGGTGGGTAGAGCTGGTAGATTTGGCACCAAGGGGCTTGCAATTACGTTTGTCTCATCTGCATCTGACTCTGATGTCCTTAATCAGGTTATACTGACTTTCTGTTTTTGATACTCTATGTACTTCCTTTTTTTCACCATTTAATTAAATCATGTAGTCTCATTTGTTTAATTATTATTGCCACTTTGATGATTTCAGGTTCAGGCTAGGTTTGAGGTGGATATAAAGGAGCTTCCTGAGCAAATTGATACCTCTACATACAGTATGATCTATTTCCACTTTGTGATGTTGTACTTTGTATGATTCATGCATTTGTGCATAATGATTTGCTTTATATTTGGAAAAGAATTACATTCATGGATTTCGACTGTTTTAGGATAATGAGAGTAATTATAGTTTCTTGGTATAATCCATTCAGAATTATGATTTCTAGTTTACACATTTGCATATGGTTATAAGTGGTTCAAGGAAAACCATAAATAAATGAATCTGATAGGAAATGTATTGGAGTTTTCTGTTTCTAATTGGTACTACTGGCTATTCTATGCTTGTTGCATATATGATTAGGTATCACGAAATGTGAACATTTGTTTTCATTTGCTTCCCACTTTCCCATTGTCGATTTTTTTTTTGCCATATTATTTCCTTAGGTCATGTTTGATGCATAGGATGATGGATAGGATAAGATAGGATAGAATGATAATAATTTTATATTATGTTTGATTTGTATCTAAAAAAAGGATAGGATTACAAGAAAGATTAATCATCCTTTTGGTATGGGATGATTCAACTCTTCCAAACTGGAGAGGATTATTTTTAATCCATGGGATTGGAGGAAGGATAATTTTGACTAATAAATAAGTTATTCTATCATAATCCTTGCACATATCAAACACAAGATAAGATGATATTATTTAATTTAATCTTATTCATAATATCATTTTATCTTATCTTATTATAATTTTGTATACCAAACACATCCTTAATCGATATGATTATTTTTTTTGAATAATGGTAGCTGGCCCAACCTAACTAGCTTTCTTTCTTTCCTGTGTAGTGCCATCATGATCGAAGTTCTTGATTTGTTCTATAGCAGGAAAGTTGTGCCAGAACTGATCAATTATTGTAGACTATAGGATGGTTTCTATTTAAGTCTGGCTGGTAAATCGGTGAGACGGAAACATCTGCTGGAGTTATCATTTTTTGTTTTCATAGTAACTTTGATCAGTTTGATTATTTCGGTTAGACTGAATCTGTAGTGTATATACTTGGTGGAGTGAACTTAGATTCCCTCCTAGTGAAATTTAAAGCATAGACTTAATTGACATTCTTCTTACACCTTCCCATTTCATAACCTCTGGTCCTTCAATGCTTTTACAAAAAAAATTTCCTCTCTTTGGTTTCGAGCTCACAAGCTATTCATAAAGCCATGTCACTGATTACATTAGTACATAAGCGCTAAGTAGATAAGTAATAATGTTGTATCATTGCATTTGAGCTGCTGCACTTAATTCTGTCAAATTCTTCACAAAACCAATACTCTATTAACCTCCCTTTGAGAATACTTGATCTTCAGCATACAAACGATAATATAAGATGCAATATCACATTGTGATGGGCTAACTGTCACAAGTGAATTTTAATAGAGGTAATACCTCAATTTTCCTTCCCTCCCTATCATTAATTGTGTACAATGTGGTGAATGGAATAGGTATATGATACAATGAAATTGTTGTTTTAATTTTATTATGCACTAATGAAATTAAATCATTAAACACTTCCAAATGGGTGGTAAAATCGTTTTTCTTATATGTTATTTTATTTAGAGAATTATGTACAAAATATTGCCTATTTTATTCAAAACTAGAAGGATGGCCGGGTTTTGCTTTAGGTCTATTATTAATATTTGATTAAATTAATTTGTAAAATTTGATTTTTGAAAATTATATTATTTTTTTGAAAATGCATTATTGAAAACACAATATGATTCTAAAATCTATTTTTGAGATTTACAATGGTGGTTTTGAGGTATACGGAAGTGTATAGTTTTGGGATGTATTTAGAAGGACTCTTTGAAGGAAGCTTTAGTTTTTAACTTCTCAAATTCACTTTTCAAGTTGCTTTGATTAGATTGCATATGTGTATAGCAAACAAGGTTTGGGGACAATTTTAATATTAAGTTATAGATTGTAGATGAGGAAAAATTTTAGTGAATAGATTTTTTTTTATCATCTGTTTGAATCATTCTTACTTCTATATTTATAGGGAACTTAATCAATGTGTTGATTTGTTTAACCGATTTCTCTATTTATTGAATTTGTATCTTTTAAAACTCAATATGTATCATTTTTAATCTTTTACAAATGAAAGAACACTTTATGAAAAGGTTAGAATTCATTTGAAACGAAAGTAACACACTTGTAACTAAGAATCATCAAATTTGAACTATAGCATTTGAATGCTTTTGAAGTCATTCAAATCCCCTTTTATAATTTTGTTATAAGTGATTTTTTTTTATCATAAAATTCGACGGCCCAATCGAAAGCATTCGAATGCTTTAGTATAAAATCATGTCAAAAGACTTCTCAAATATGACATTCGAATCCCTTTAATCAAACATTCGAATCTTTTAGTATAAAAACATTTCATAAGTTGATTTTTATTTTCAATTGATTCTTTCATGTTTTAATTCTAAACTTTCATATTTCTGCCGTTGAGACAGTATTAGTTGAGGTGCCCTCTCTCTCTATTTTGGTAGTTAATAATTAATGTTTATCATCATGAAATCAAAAAGGAAAGCTACATAAGATCAATTAATGAAATGGCTAAATTTGATCATTAAACAGTTTGATCTGTCAAGTGCTCAGAAATAACCAAGAAAATCCTATTCTATAATGATTAAGGATTTCTTTCCTCACAAAACAATAAAAAAGATCACCTTAAATAGCCTTGTCTTCCTGTGTTCAGCACAACAATTGTTGTAAGCCATCACTTTACGAACCATGGTAAGAAATAAAATCTCCAAATTTCAACTGAGGCCACTCTAATCTAACTCCTAATTTACTAATGGAAAATCCTTTTTTTTTTTTTTTCAGGATCCATCATCAATTGCATATGTTATTTGCCTGGTCTCACTGATCACAATTTGTATTACTGCAAAAGCACAGCGAAATGTGTTCAACGTTCTAAGTTATGGAGCTGCTGGCAATGGCCTTACTGATGATTCCTTGGTAAAATTTTCTACTTTTCAGCCTGTGAAATCTTATATTTGCAGATATGTATGAGTTGTTCTATATTATTAGTACTGATTACTACTAATTTTCTAATTTTTTCGGACGCAGGCGTTCATGAAGGCATGGAAGGACACATGTAGTGCTGCAGCAGGCACTCCTACCTTGATTATTCCCAAAGGAAAAATATTTTTGGTGCATCAGATTACATTCACAGGCCCCTGCAAGTCTAATAAAATAAATGTCGAAGTACGATAAAATTAACAAAATTAAGAATCTGAAGCTTATCTAGTTGGTTCATAGTTCATACAGCTATCATTATGAGGAGGCTATCAGCAAGTGTAGAGTTCGATTTTCAATACCTGCAATCCCTTTCATGTCATCCGTCTATAGCTTCCTTTGTATCAAAAAATTAATAAAATTAATAGCACTGCAAAAGCTTTCCTACTTCCTAGTAATACATCAGTAAATTGGCATGTGAGATATAATCAAATTTGGATCATAACTCATGAGAATAGATAATATGATCTTCAATTCTCCAGGATTCGTATTCTTCCGCAATCTAAATTTCTGTTGCAGCTATCAGGAACTATTATCGCACCCAATGGTCCTGATCAGTGGAAGGCAGCCGATCTGTCAACATGGTTAGCATTTCAGGGTGTAAACGGTCTAACTATTGATGGACTTGGGATGATAGATGGACGTGGCAAAGGCTGGTGGGATCGCTCATGCAAATTTCATCGTGGTCAGCAGGTATACTGCAACATCAAAATCGCAGAAAACACAACCAAACTTAAACTTGTGAAGTTCCATACTTCCAGTCATTTAATTCCTTTTCTTTTTCCCGCTTTTTCCTGATTCATTTCTGACTGTTGAACTTCTCCGCAGGGATGTATCACACTAGCACCAACGGTAAGTACGTTGAGAGGATTAGGTCCAGGCAAAACTCGAATCCAGAATTTATTACTACAACTCTAGCTGTCATTATCTGCCTAGTTATTGTAGAGAGGCAGGTTAGTATATTACTATATTATGCTTTGCTGCAGGTACTTAAATTTGAGAATTGCAACAATATTCACATGAGCAACATTAAGTTTCACAACAGCCCCCAAACACACGTACTGATCTTGGGATGCCAAAATGTTGATTTTGGATTCTTGACCATACAAGCTCCTGGAACAAGCCCCAACACTGACGGAATACACATTCAGGTTGCTCGTAATGTGTCCATTCACAATTCACAATTTGCTGATGGTGAGTTGATTGCTTTATGTAAATGCTTTTGATTTAACGTTTTGCATTTGAGAACAGCAAAGGAAAAGAATTACTACAGAGAATTCACCACATTCTACAATGGAAAAATGGCATACATGGTGTTTCAAACTCAATGTAGGACACTGTCTGTTGGCATCCGAAGCGCCTCTAGGACTTTTCTCTATTGATAGATTGGAATCTAATTCCCTGGTGTTTACTTTATAAATGTCTTTGACAAACATTAAGCTAGGTAGTAATTGAATGAGTGCATGACTGTCAAGTTGATGATTAACGGCTTCATTGTTGATGAACAGGTGATGATTGTATCTCCATTGGTGATAGGACTTCTGACATCTCCATCACTGACATTAGTTGTGGCCCTGGTCATGGTGTGAGGTAAGCAAATTTTTTGTTCAGTCTTTGACGTCACTGGGGATTAAATCGATCCTTGGAACAAGCCCAACACTCCTAATTTTAATGCCTAACAGCATTGGAAGCCTAGGCAGGGGCGGAGCGGAGGTTCAAGTAAATAATATTAATGTGAGGCGAGTAAACTTCCGAGGGACAACTAATGGGGTACGAATCAAGACGTGGCAGGTATGAAATTTGTAAAATAAAAAAAGAAAAGAACAAAACCTGTTGACCAACGAAAATCTTGAGTTAAATTTGTTTTTGTTTTGCAGGGAGGCAGAGGTATAGTTCGAAACGTATCTTTCTCAAACATAAACTTCCGGGCAGTGGCAAATCCAATCATCATTGATCAGTTCTACTGTGATATTCCAAATTCGTGTAGGAAATCGGTAAGACACATACAGAAGCCTTTAGAACAACTAAAAGCATTACAATTTACATGTACGGTGCTTGTTTTATTGTTTGAATTTATACTTTGAATTTTGACAGAACACTGCAGTTCATATTAGCGGTGTACGATACTCTCAATTGTTTGGGACATCAAAGACAAAAGTGGGTATCAATCTCAATTGCAGCAGTAATGTTCCATGCACCGGCATTACATTAGAGGACATTCATTTGGCATCGGCAACTTCAGACAGCCAATTGATTTCTAGCTGCAACAACGCCTTTGGACTGAATAGAGGAATTATAGATCCCAAATCCTGCCTCCGGAAAATAATTTGAGAGACAATATGATTGTACATTCAAATTTCCTTCTAAAAATAAAAACAGAAATAAAATGTCAAAATTCAATTTTATTAAATAAAATAATGGATACAAATTTCTATATGATCTTTTTTACAGAAGAAAATAATCTTCTGATTCGATCTTATCAAAAACAAAAATGATATTCTAATAAAATGATTGGCAAATCTTCAAAACGACGTTTGTTGTGATAGAAAACAAGCTTGTGATTTTTGTGAACAAAAGCTTGATCACGAACTGGCAAAAATAAGCAGATCTTTAAAGAAATGACCAAAGCCTTATGATTTCTTGGTTGGTTATTGAATTTCAGACAGCTTGAGTAATCTTCAAAGATGAGCAGCAAATCTTGAATGTGTGAGAATAAGGCTAGAGTGTTTCTTCTTTGCATTTATCTCCAGATGAGTTGGAAGAACTCTCTATTTATAATGCTATGTGTGATATAATGTGAGAAAGTTCTAAAATTAACTTTTAATCATTTTGATTTTTTCTCTAATAATTTTAAATTAATTAAAGATAATGAAGATGACTCATAGAATTTAATTAGGTGATCTACGAGTCCTTAATTTTGATTAGTCTAACTTATGTTTTTATCCTGGTATACAAGTAATTTTAATAAATATTCAACAAATTATTTAACTAATTAAATATTTAATTTAATTTATTTAAATATTTTCATCAAATTTTCAATGTCTATAACGGTTAATTTTATATATAGCAAGCTTGGATTTTCGTCATCCACGTAACCTGTATTAACCTTTTGAAAGCATTGGAAAATTGATTGGTGCAATTCTGCGGTAATTAAATTTTTAGCTTACGCAAGGTTCAACATTGTAATCTCTGCACTTCGTAAGTTACTCCAAATTAGGGAAAGATTTAAATGAAATTTCTTAGGTGAATTTAGTGAAAACTTTTCTAGAAACGATTAAATAAAAATAAAATTAAAAATCAAAATTGATAGATTAAGAGTCTCCTCGTTATATAAATTAAGTATGATAATTTTGAAAAAATTTGATATATAATTTTGGATAGATATTTTAAAAAATATATTAATAAAATTTTTATTTATTAAAAAATATTGGTCAAATTTAAATTATAAATAACTTTTTTAAATTTGTTTTACATATTATTGATATCCACATTAAATTCTATTAATCTATTGGTTTCGATTTTTTATTAAATCATTTTTAAAAAACAATTTCATATAAATTTTACTAAAAAAATTTCATATAAAGTTTGTCCATCCAAATAAGCTAAGTTCACTTATCAAAGGTTGGCTTAAAAGTCCAAAATTGAGGCATCCTATTAAATTCGTAAGAAGCACATTACTTTAACAATGTTTTCATAATTGAATAACAGGATGATTGTATCTCTAGATTGGAGAATATCTTTCAAACATTAATGTGAGAAATTGTTTTTATAATTTATGATTGAGAAATTTAAATACAAATATGGACCGACAAATTAATGTAACTAATGTCTAAAATTATCTTTAAATCGATGACTTGAAAATCCAAATACTTTTTTTTGGTATATAAAAAGTCAAGGTTTAAAAGAAATTGAAAAAAAATTTACAAGTATTGAGTATTAAATATCAATTTTGTTAAAAATCATTTTTAAAAAATAATGAATCAATATCACACCTTAGTTTGTTAATTTTAAATTACGAGAGCTGAAAATTATGGAAGTTAAGTAGTTATACTTAAAGAAAAATAAGTCAAGCAAACATACAGATATTTTATTACTAAATATTTTTTTATTAATTTTTATTTGATTAGATTTATTCATAAAATTTGATAACCTTAACACTTTTTGAATGGGTCTAGTTTGGAATTATACATTAAAAAAAAAAACATATTTGAACTTCAAATTACAATACCTATAATCACTTCTCATATTCTCATGTTAGGGTCTCTTTTGCAATATATATATATATATATATATATATATATATGGGTCTAGTTTGGAATTATACATTTAAAAAAAAACATATTTGAACTTCAAATTACAATACCTATAATCACTTCTCATATTCTCATGTTAGGGTCTCTTTCTCTTTTGCAATATATATATATATATATATATATATATATATATATATATATATATATATATATTAGAAGGTAAGGGTGTATAAGCTATTGAAAGTATTTTTGTCATTTACTGAAGATTAAAATTGGTATTTGCTACATGGTAATTTTTGGAAGAAAATTTTAAGGGTGTATAGAAAAAATTTTGGAGTGTATTTAGAAGGCTATTTTGGAGAACGATTTAGTTTTTTTACTTCCCAAATTTACTCTTCAAGTTACTTTTAGGGGGTGTTTGGTTCGCGAAATCGTAGATTCCAAGAAAAAGTGTGATCCCCAAGAAAATGAGATACCTAGGGTTTTTTTTTCATTTTCAAGGCATCTCGTGTTCAGATTCATTAGTTTGGTTAGGAAGAATCCACATATATTAAATCCTGGATAATTACTACAATCTTGTCGGAATAATTACTATAATCTCTGATTTTTATGAGGGGATTATTGAAGATATTTTTGAATGTCCTCATAAAAATGAGAGGGGATTATTGAGGTGTTTTTGGTAAAAAATACCTTAAATAATCCCTTCCAATTTTATATAGGAGATTATTGAAAGTATTTTTGGCCAAAAACGCCTTCAATAATCTCCTTCCTTTTTTTTTGAGATTATTCAAGGTATTTATGATAAAAAAACGTGCAAAGATGCCTCCAATAATCCCTTTATTTTTTATTTTTTGAATTTTTCAAGGCATATCTAGCCAAAAATGCTTTCAATAATCCCTTTTCAATATTTTTATTATTATTCAAGGAGTTTTTGGCCAATAATGCCTTGAATAACCTCATTCATTTTTTTGTAAAGGAATATTCAAGGCATTTTTGCCTAGAAAATGCCTTAAATAATCCTTTATAAAAAATTAAATGAGGTTATGAAGGCGTTATTGGCCAAAAACACCTTACATATTCCCTTACAAAAAATTGAATGGGGTTATCCAAGGTGTTTCTGGCCAAAAACACCTTGAATAATCCCATCTCAATTATTTTATGGATTATTCGAGGTGATTTTGGCTAGAAAACAACTTGAATATTAGCTTACAAAAAATTGAATTGGGTTATTCAAGGCATTTCTGGTAAAAAAATATCTTCAATAATCCTTTCAATTTTTTACTAGGGGATTATTCAAGGTATTTTTGCTGAAAAACGCCTTGAATAATCCCTTCTAATTTTTTTGAGGATTATTCAGGGCATTGTTGCCCAAAAAACACCTTGAATAATCTTCTTGTTTTTTTAAGATTATTCAAAGTGTTTTTGGCAAAAAATGCTTTCAATAATCCCTTCCAAATTTTTTTATGAGATTATTCAAGGCATTTTTGTCCAGCAAACACCTTGAATAATCCCTTACAAAAAATTTAATGGGATTATTCAAGGCATTTTTTTTGGTAAAATGCCTTGAGTGATCATTTTTAAAATTCATTCTCCTTTTTTGAACTTTGAAAACCCAACTAAAATAGTGAACGATAAACCCAAAGCTGCATTGTAACTAACCCCTAAACCATCAATCCATTTAGTTTGCATTTTGGTTTCTTTATCTCTCACGTCATTGTTGACCATCAATAACTCAACACCGTCACACCTTTCTTTATATTGGTATGTGTGTATTTTATCTTTGTGTTGTATTATTTATATTCTTTGATATAGGTATGTTTTTTATTTGTTCCTTACTATATATATAAATTTTTGTTTGCTTTTTATTCATTCAACCGTCAACTTAGTCGCCCAACCTCCTTTCATTACATGTATGATGTTTCTTTGTAGTTTGGCTTAAATATTGTGGTTTGCTAAATGGTATTGCGAAAATTTTGTGTATATTTTTTACTCATCATTTGTTTTGCATGAAACTTTTATTTAAGGTGGGATTTACAGTATGGCTTGTACCCGTAAAATATTATTGGTTTGAAGATGTTTTACGTATATTGGTTTAGTAATTGTAGTATGATATTGGTTGTATTTTATTATGTGTGAAATTTAAAGAGACAATTTGGTGTATTTCGTAAAATTATGATCAAAATCATAGGTATTATGGAATCCAAAAAACATGTCTCCTGCTACTGAACATGAAAAAGACACACTTGCAGTGAAAAAAAGAAAAGCAAGGGGATGAAATAAATAAATTCAAGTGATTGACACAAAAATTCACGTCGACTTCTTCAAAGTGGGTAGCCTGTGTATGATGGAGCTACCAAGTTGGCTAGTCACATTGGAGTGGTCATCCGTAGTAGCATTTTTATTACGTACCAAAATTGACGACAAGTTCCTGATAATCTAAAGGATCATACATGGGAGTTTATTGTGGTATGTTTATTCAAGTATTTCATAAAATTTGTTAAATGATCATTTAATTGAAATTCAATGTGTTCATACTAATTGTTTTAAATTTATTAAGAACGGTTTAACATCCCAAATGAGTATAAAAAGCTTGTGTTGTAATCGGTTGGGAAAGCATTCGAAGACTTTAAAAGAAGATTGACAATGCAATATATCTTACCATTCATTGATAATAGTAATATGTTGGCTTATCCTCTTCCGTCATATGCAGATTCAGTTATCAAGATTGGACCTATTTTGTTCGAGATCGACAATCAAAAGAATTCTTGGTATACATACCCATTATGTTAATTGTTTATAAAATTTTATGTAATATATTTGATATCTTAATATGTAATTTACCTTATATCTTTCTTTTCTAGAAAATCAAAGAACAACAAAAGAACATTCAAACTAAACAAGTATATCACCATCGGACATCGAGAAAGGGTTATGTAAATGTCAAGTATGATCTTGTAAGTATTCACACACTTGTTTTGCACTCATAAATGAATATTTATGAACATTCGTTTAATAGATTTTGATTCTTATATATCAACCCTTTTATTTGGAAACATCTAGCTTTGGCACCGAAGTTTTTAAATGGGATGAGTGGAAGCAAGGACAGATACGAAAGGATGGATTGTTTGGCAATGAAGCAACTGAAGAAATAGCTAAATAGATTGTATGCATAACTGTTCATTTTATTATGTATAATTGGCTTTAAGCTTGTATGTATGACTTTATACTTGTACAACTTTGTTGTTATGCCTCATCTTATTATTGTCTTTTAGGATAATTTTGTTACTAAATTTAAATATAGTGAACTACCAATCGTTCATGGTGAAGATCCCTTACCTTTAGCATTAAGAGTGAAAGAAAGATATGGTTGAGTTTGTAGGGTTGGTAGATTTGTGTTGCCATCAAAATTCTTCAGTAATTAACCTAAAATCCCTTAAATGACAAATGCACAATATAAAGCAATCATTCAGCAACAACAACAAAGATTTGATGACTGAGAGCAATGCCTAAATAATCAATAGCAACGACTCGTAGCTTTAGAGGTGATTTTGGCAGCAA